TATTGACATATCATATGGTTTTTATCTTTCATTTTGCTTATATGGTGTATCACATTTATTGATATGCAAATATTGTATCAGTCTTGCATCTCTCAGATGAATCCCACTTGGTCACAGTGAATAAATTTTTTAATGTATTGCTGGATCTGATTTGCTAATATTTTGTTAAGGATTTTGGCATGTATGTTCATTAGGGATATTGGGCTATAGTTTCCTTTCTTTGAAGTATCTTTATCTGGTTTTGGAATTAGGATTATGCTGCCTCATAAAAAGATTTTGGAAGTTTTTTTTTTTTTTTTTTGGAATAGTTTGAAGAGAATGGGTGTTGGTTCTTCTTTGACTGTTCAGTAAAACTCCATGAAGCCTTCTGGGACTGGGCTTTTGTTTCCTAAAAGTTTATTGATTCTGAGACATCATATGTAGTGGAATTTTCACTGATACTTCACCTAGAGCAAGTGAATCACAGTAAAAAATAAATAAACGGGATTACATTAAACTTAAAAGATTCTGCACTGCAAAAGAAACCAGAATTAAAATTAAAAGGGAACCCACTCTCTGGGAGAACATATTTGCCAATGATACATCAGATAAGTTGTTAATATCCAAAATATATAGAGTACTCATACAACTGAACAAAAGGAAGAAAATCCAATTAAAAAATGGGCAGAGGATCTTAATAGACACTTTCCCAAATAGGACATACAAATGGCCAGGAGACATAAAAAAATGCTCAACATCAGAGAATGCAAATTAAAACAACTTGAGATGCCACCTCACACCTTACACCTGCCAGAATGGCGGCCATCAACAATAAATCCTCAAACAACAAATGCAGGTGGGGATGTGGAGAAAAGGGTACTCTAACACACTGCTGGTGGGAATGCAGACTGGTGAAGCCACTATGGAAAACAATATGGTGTTTCTGCAAAAAATTAAAAATGGAACTGCCATTTGATCCAGTGATTCCACTTCTAGGAATTTATCCTAAGTAGCCAGAACCACCAATCAGAAATAATACATGCACCCTTTTGTTCACAGCAGCTCTATTTACAATAGCTAAGATCTGGAAACAGCCCAAGTGTCCATCAACGAATGAGTGGATAAGAAAACTGTGGTACATATACATAATAGAATACTATGAGCTGTTAGAAAGATGACATGAGGGAACCTGGAGAGTATTATGCTAAGCGAAATAAGCCAATCAGAGAAGGACAAGTATCACATGATCTCACTTATTTGTGGAACATAATGAACAAATAAGCTGTTGACTAAAAGTGATCCAGAATCATGGAAGTAGGGAACAGACTGAAAAACTTCAGAGAAAGGTGGGTGGGAAGAGATAAACCGAAGAATTTATATTCATATATGCACAACTAATCAATACGGACATTAGTTTGGGTAGCCGTTGGAATAGGAACTAGTTGTCTCATGTGAGGGTAAAAGTGATCCTCACACCAGGAATGTTTGAAAGGCCCCTACTTTTAGTACTTCTTTAAAGAAATCTTGAATATATAAGACATACCACACAAATTATAGAAAAAATTATTCATATTTTAAAGATTTTATCACAATTTCTTTTGATGGGGCTTACCCATAATATATCCACAATATTTTTGATATACCAAGGAATATACATTGTGTAAGCAAAAATCCTCATACAGTCGTCCCTTGCCACTTCACCCTTCAACTTGCGTGGCTTCACTCTATCACGGTTTTTTGAAATTCTATATTTGAAATAAACACGATAGAGTGACGCTGCGGAAGTCAAAGCACGAAGTGGTGTAGTCAAGTACAAAGTAGTGAAGGATGACTGTATATAAAGAATTCTACTTCGTGAAAATTCATTTATCATGGTGGAGTCTGGAACTGATTAACTGAGATAAACAAGGGCCGACTGTATATGTATCTGCATGATTTAAGAGCAGAGACATGCCAACCTGTTTTAGAAGAACTCTGGCTACTACCCTGGGACTAGGCTATAGGAGACTAAGCCAGCAGCAGGGAGACCAGTTAGTGGAGTGTTTTGGTATTATAGACAATATTATGGGGGCTCTGACCGGGGTGGTAGCTATGTAGGTGGTGATGAGTGGTCAGGTTCTAAGTATATTTTAAATGTAGAACCAATGTGATTTGTGGATTTGTTCAAGGTAGGTTCTAGTTTGACAATTATGTTAGACATTTGACTGAAGATGCCAAGTAGGATTGCAGGGGAGAGGCCCATGTCAGAAATACCAAATTGGAAGTCCTCAACATGTAACTGCTATTCAAAGCCAGTGTGAAATAGATCACTAGGGATGGAGACTTTGGCACTCAAAGTTTAGATGTTGGAAGAAAAGAAGGAATCAGTAAGGGAGTCTGGGAGGGAGACTCAGTGAGGTAGGAGGAAAACAGGGTGAAGCCAAGACAGTGGGATAGGAGTGATGCATACTGAGGTGCTAAACAAACTCTCCTACATTTGGTTATGATTTCAATAGCCTGAGGGGTAAGGTGTGTACTTACCACACCGTGGTAGGTGGGCATAAAGAGTTGCAGATTACGAGGACACAAGAGAGCTTAAATAGGAGCCTGAATTTGATCAGGGGAGTGATATCAGAAATAATGGTGAGGTAGTGCAGCTTTCAGAAGCATATTCACCATGAGGTGTGGTAGCTGTGATGGTAGACACAATTCTTGACTTTTTGCTGGTATACTTTGTATTGCCTTCAGTAGCTATGTGTTACTGTTGTAATATAAAAGCTATTAGATAAAATTAATTAGAAATATGAGACTGGAAAATAATTGAAAAGTACACTGTAACAGCTCAGGAAAGAAACACTTCGGGTTAGGATGAGGACACCAGCAGGGAAATGGAGTAAGTCAGATACTTCAGATTTTTAGAACCTGGTTAAGGGCAAGACAGGAATCCCTCCTTCCAAAAGTGCCTAGTGAATGTCTTAACATCTTGATGTTGTAGGGATTAAGAGGATGGAGTTCTTTTCTGATGTTCAGAACGTGTATAAATCAGTCACATAAATGACTTAATTCAAACTCCTGATGGTTTTTTTTTTTTTTTTTCCTGACAGTAAAAACTGGAGGCAATGAAATGATATAATATACTACAAAGATAACTTAGAAGGAACAACCTCTTGAAAAAGAGTGCTGAGTACTCTTCTTTAAGACATGGTTTCTGACATGAACTAGACATCTGGTTTTGCTCTTTAATTTGGGAACAAATGCATTTTACATCTATCTGTCTGTCAATAGTAAACAATGCCTGCATATTAAGTCTACCTGAATACAGAGCCTACTGCTAATCAAAGTACAAAAAGTAGGGGTACATTTTGCAACCTGGTTAGACTGTCAACTGAGATGCTGAGTAGGCAGTGGAATTTAGGTAAGTACCTGGTTAGCCTTAGCTTTCTTGAATCATTTGTACCTTAAGTGTGACACAGCATTTTGAAAGCTTGCTAGATACTAAGAAATAATTATCTGCAAAGAAGTGTCTTAATAAAAATATTAAGATAATTAATTCCTCCAGAAACTCAATTGTATGCTCAGATCAAGCCAAACCTTACAAAGTTCTTTACCGAGATTCCAATACTGTTAGTTTTAAGGATTTGGCTTTACTAAATTGTATTTTAACATACTGGTCTTATTGTACCTCATGAAACTAGTCATTGTTATAAAATCCTCAGAGAAAAATGTCTGTCAGGCCTTAGTACCAAGAGTGGTGTACTTCTGGATTGTGCCTTAGCTTGTAGGCTTATCCATGTACATTCTTTCCAAGGAAAAGTAAGTTCAGTATTGAACTTGCTGTATAATTCTAATACTTATTTAGACTACTGTGGTATGCATTGTTTTTAATACGTCTACTGATTTTCCATTTAACCATAATCCCTTACATATGTGTTTTAAAAAGCTATCTTTTATTTTTAAGTGAAGCATGAAAAAAAACCCAACAAACCTTCAGTTCAGGGTAGACATAGAAGAAGGATAGAGAAATAGTAATTGATTTGTTTTAAGTTAAAAAGGCCATTGCTATAGCCCTGGCCGGTTTGGCTCAGCAGTTAGTGTCAGCTGGCGGATCAGAGACTCAGGTTTGATTACGGGTCAAAGGCATGTACCTTGGTTGAGGTTTGGTCCCTGGCCCTGGTCAGGGTCACGCAGGAAGCAGCCAATCAATGTTTCTCTCTCCCTCTCTCATATTCTGTCTGAAAATCAATGAAAATATATCCTCAGGTGAGGATTTTTTAAAAAGGCCATTGCTATAGAGATCAAAATGATAAAACAAACTCAAAGAAAAATGTAAAGGCAACACTCTTAGCACATTTTCTGTGTGCTATTGAATTGACCTACATCTCCATTTAAGTCTTTCCCCCAAGACGGTAAATTACAAATCTCATAAGCTATTTAATGAATTCTAAATGTCATTTTGATTTCATGTGAAAACGTCAAGAACTATTTTTGTCTAGGATAATTAACATAATATTATCCCTTGTAAATTCCACCAAAGGCAATTTTAGTTTTCAAAACCAAACCAAACAAAAACCCAAACAGAACAAACCTTTTCTTACTGCCAGAATTACCATCTTAAAAAACAATATCCATAATGAAAATGATAACCTATTTCCGCCTTGGCCATTTTGGCTTAGTGGTTAGAGTATCAGCCTGTGAACCAAAGAGTCATGGGTTTGATTCCAGTCAAGGGTACATACCTTGGTTGTGGTTTTGTTCCTGGATGATTGAGGTCATGCAGGAGGCAACCAGGCGATGGTGTCTCTCTCACATCAATGCCCCCTACCCTTTCCTTCCCTCCCACTCTACCTGAAGATAATGGAAAAATATCCTCAGGTGAGGATTAAAAAAATAAATAAAAATAATAACCTATTTCCATGTGTTACTTAAATAAAAGTATTTGTGAAAGTATTGTTGTATAAGAAAAAAATACTGGCAAACAAAGAAAACCAGAGACAAACACATAACTCTTGGTGTGAATTTTAAATTAATTTATTTTTCTGTCCTGGAAATTTAATGTTTACTTAAAACCTAATAATAGAAAGAGACATATAAATCCACCAAGCCTCTGCTTAAACAAACATTTACAGACTTTATTGCTGATACAGTCTTCAAATTATCCACACAAAACTGCTTATGAAGAAAGTTTTAAGCTATATTGATGATTTTGAAACAGACACAAAACACTAAAAACAAAAATCTCCCTCTTTCCCAGAAGAAATGTTTTATGTTATGTTACCCTCTTTAAACACCTCTGGTGAACCAAGATGGTCGCCTTCCATCTCGTTCAATGATCCTCTTGCCCTGATCTTGTTGAGATGGTGTCTCTCCCCTGTACAGCACCATAGTCCCTACAGTAGGAGCCTTAAAAGGGCCCCCTTCTTGATTCCCTATCTGTCTTCTGATTTCAGCAGTCTCCTTGCACACATTCTCATAGCAATAGCCACAAAGGACATGTTTCTGTTTCAGGTGACCACATTCAGGACAAACGTCTATGTTGTTCTAGAAAAAGAAATCAATAAACAACAAAAAAATATTTTAACAAGAGGCAAAATAATGAATAATTACTGACAGGAGTGATGCTTATATTTAAATTTTCTTGTAGTAGTCATGCTGCACAAAAGGTTATATACCACCTAGTTCAATCTCACTTTAATAGAAAAACTAAGAACATTGAATTAGTAGAAAATTGGGACAACTCAGGTCCACTGACTCAATCCACACAGCAGTAGTCATATTATATAAAACGGTACTCTCTTCCTTCCCACATCTTCAAATACTAAGCATTTAATAAAAAGGAATTCACTTTCCCTTTCAACTTATCTTGGAAAAAACAAGATGATAAACACATTACAAGCTGGCTTTCTCTGATTTATCACAGTCTAACTCAAATCCCTATATAAAGTACAGTTGGTAGATGGTGTAATTTTGAAAAAATATATGAACATTGATTATTCCTTAATGTAAAACTTCCCTGTTTAGTTATAATTTGAGGATATTTTAATGAGTTTTTATGCATGTCTACCCAATTTTAATGACAAAATTATAACCTTTAAACTCTTTTTAACGTGTTTAAAAGAAGGTCTGAAATATAAAGAAAAATAGTAGTGACATCAGCAGGATAGTACCATGAGAACCTCCAGGGCTCTCCCCTTGAAGTAAAAAATCAGGTAAAAAATTAGATAACTATAATGTAACAGAAGATTCTCTGCTCAACACATAAACATATCTGAGAAATCCACATACTGAAACATCTGAAGGTGGGTGTATCTCACGAAATGGAAGGAGGGAAGGAGAAAGGACAGACACAGACACAGGTATCAAAGCAGCAGCCCAGAACTCACTATGGCCCCAGAAGACTCAGTAACAAGCAAAGTGTCGGGTTGCAGTGCACATATTCTGCAGCCCTAAGGAACTGAGGGTTAGAATCAACATTTCTCCTGAGTGACCACCACACACTGCAGCAAAACCCAGTGTAGGGCAGAGATGGAACACAAAAGTGTGACAGCTGTGCTCTAGCAGTCGTTATTACCAGGCACAAAACAAAGCCACAGATGCACAGTTGTCTCCCTCACCCTCCCAAAACTTACAGTGACTGCTGTAGATAATATAGCAGTGGAGGTGTAGGGTTACAGCACACACTATCTTGGCAGCCCTCAGGACTAGAAGGGCAGAAACAGTTATCTCTAAGTGACAGGAACACAATGCAGCTTAACCAGTGACAGGAACAGAGAAGTGGCAACTGATGCCTGGCAGCCAACATTATTGGGAGGAGAGCAAGGCCATAAATGCAAGAAGAGTCCTCTCCCAGCCACCCAACCCCACTCACTGCAGCGGAGACTGGTGGAGGAACTGCAAACACCTCAGAGTGCAGCACTGCTACCAGCATCTACCTGCTGGAGGCAGTTCTGGAATATCACAGGCCCAGAGTACCCATCGCCCACCACAATCCCCAAGTGGGTGGTGCTGAGACTAAGGGATGTCCACTTTCCCAAGGAATAATGGTCATACTTCATGGCAAACACAACACCGCCCCACAGAGATCACAGAAGTCCCAGCAGTCCCTGTCAGAGGGTTGAGATGCAGTGTGTGCCTGATGTCTGATGTTGAGAGAGAAATACTTTGCCCTTCCAGTTCTGTGTTGCAGAGAAAGAAAGTGTGTTGTCATCAATACATCCACTGTTACAGAATCTGCTGGGGCTGCTATGAGCTCTGGAAGAGTGAGGGGAGGCAGCTATACAACTGTGACACTTACTGGAAAACAAACAAACAAAAAAATCTTTACTTATTAATTTACTAAACAGTGAAGTGTCAAATATTTTTAAAAGCAGATATTGCCTTGGTGGGTGTGGCTCAGTCTGTTGGAGTGTCGTCCTGTACACAAAAAGGTGGCAGGTTCAATTCACGGTCAGGGCACATACCCAGGTTGTGGGTTCAATCCTGTTGAGGTAAATGAGTGAGGCAAATGATCGATGTTTCTGTCACATCAATGGCCCCTACTCCCCTCTTCTCTATCTAAAAATCAATTAAAAAATAGGTTTCATTTTCACAAATATCTAGGCAGAGAAATAATCCATCAAATACAATAAATAATCAAGGTAACAAGACAGCTCAAAAAGAAAATAAAAAAATCTCCAGAAAATAAAGTAAAAGACCTAGATATATGCAATTTAAAAAGAGAATCAAGATGGAAGTCCTTAAAAATCTCAACAATACACAAAAACTCAGAGTTTAATGAATCCAGAAATATAATCAATAAATAAAAAGTGTACTTTACTAAAGAGATTAAAACTATAAAAAAAGTAACCAAACAGAAATTCTGGAGCTAAGTTACTCAGTCAGTGAAATAAAAAAATGAATTGGCAAGCCACAGATAATAGAACTTACCAAGTAGAGGAAAAAATTAGTGATACCGAAGACAGAAATTTAGAAAATGACTCAGATGGGAAAGGAAAGAGAGAGAGATGCCAAAATGGTTGCAGACTAGGTGGAAGCTCCAACCACTTGCTTCCAACACTGGACTGGACTTGCAGCTAAACTGCAGAGCAACTGTCTTGAAAAACCAGTTTAAGTGTAGCTGACCTAAAATATTGACAGCAGGAAACACGGAGGAAAGACAGGAGGAGACATGAAGAGGGTGAGCCAACACACAAAGGTGCCTGGCTGGGAAGCCGGAAGCCCCCAACCCTGGGGAGCACGAAGTCTCCCTCCTCCCCCACAGGTATCCCCAGTCCGGAACAGAGAAGGGAGGAGAAATCAGTGGGGATTCAGTTGACCTGGGATCCTCGGAGAGCAGCATGCCAGATAAACTGCAATTTCTTTGTTACACCAGCCTGGGAAGTTGGCTCTAATCTATGACTGTGGGAGGAGCCACAGAGCAAAGCTCAGGGCAGGCTGAGGGGTCTGACTGGTACACCCAGCAGTGACTCTGAGGAGACCTCTAATCTCTGGAAGAACTTTGGCTAAAGATCTGGCAGGGGGCCGGGCAGTGTGACTTGGGAAAGAGGATAGCGATTCTGACCACCTGAAGTGCATGGGCAGTGCCCCTCTCCCTACTTATGAAACTGCTAGTTTGCCCCCTTCCTGCTGTGACCAGAAATAAAGGGGAATGGTGCTGGGCCGGAAACCTGCACCCATACTGCTTGATATGATGGCACAGGTGACTCAAATATTTGGCCCAGTCGGAGCACGATTTTCTTTTTTGATCCCCTCCTATTTGGTATGGCAGGGTCCCAGGGAGCCAGGCAGAACTAAGGCATTGTGACTCTATCTCTAGAGTGGTTTCTGTCCGGGGCACAGATGAGCATGTATTGGGCACTTACTTCAGCTGCGTTACCAGGAAGCAGATCCAAGCTCCCCAGGGAATTCAGCCAGTGCAGTCCTGGGAAAGAAAGTGCCTCCTCCCACAAAGGGAGTCTGTTTAAACCACTTAGCCTGGTCCCCAATACCCCTGTAGAGCTAGGGGGAAGAGAGAGAAGCTCAGAGCAGGGACATTCAAGGTGTGAGACCCCAGGCAGACCAGCCCTCTGGGCTTTCTGGGCCTTGAAGGCCCTGCCCATTAGAAAACTTGAGGCTCCACCCTGCCAACCTTTACTTAGGTTACCTAGGGTGAGCCAGGAATAGCAACTAACATTCCCTTATACCAGATAACTTACTGGGAAGCTAAGAACCAGCATACCAAGTGGCCAACTTTGGGTATCAGAGCAGAATCCAGTGATCTACACAAGCTGCAGATCAAAACATCTTTCCTTTATTTTTTCTTTTATATTTCATCTCTTCTCTTTCCTTGTATCTTATTTTTTCCTTTTCTTCTATTTTTTTAAATTTTTTTCATTATTTTTTCCTATTCTATTTTTCCTATTCTATTTTATTTTTCCCATTTTATTGAATGTTACTACTGCTTATTATTTCACTTCTGTATTGTTTAAAAATCTTTTTAAATTTTGTTTTATTCTTTATCATTTGTCCTTTTCATCCATATCCTTTTTCTTCTCTAATTCTTTTGGAATATTGTCATTTAGTATTCTTATTGTTATATCTTTTTGTTATTGTTTATGTTGTTGATTTATGGGGCTTGTTTTTTTTCCATGTTGTTTTTTGGTTTGGTCTTATGTCAGCACCTGCATAACAGTTGGCATAAAGTGGTTGGAGTTGATCTTTACACTCAGCTGGTCAGAGGGCTGAACCATCAACAAATGGGACAGTAGCAATCAAGACCTAATTACAGACCATGGTTTGGAAGATGGCGGCAGGACTGGGGTGGGTGTGTGAAGAGAGAGGATGCAAGGATGAGGGCGTGTGTATAAGAGCTCTATCTGTGTGGGAACTTGGTGCAGCAGTTCAGGCTTGCTGCTGCTGTCGGCCCTATACTTCTTGCTCCAGGTTTGGAGAGTGGTCATTTTGGAGTATCTGCAGTGTTCTCCAGGAGGAGACTGCTGGGGGCTGCTGCAACTTGACACCTAGCCTTGCCAACACAGTGGCTGACCAGCCTGGTGCTTCTTGCTCCAGGTTCAAAGCATTCGCTACTTTGGAATATCTGTGAAGTCCTCCCGAGGAGGAAGTCACCACAACTCAGCGCCAAGCCTTGCTGCTGCTAGGTTCCGGGTCTGGCATGGCAACACAACCCTGCAAATGGTTATCAGGGTCTGGGAGCTGCACTATTGGCCACAAAAGCAGATAGTTGATTCCCCGACCCTGGGTGCTTTTGGAACAGCAGACTGGATAGTAAGTAAGCAAATGGTAGGTAGGCAGCAGAGCTGGGCAGTGCCAAGAATGGAGAAAGGTAGGTAGCAGGGACAGAGTTGGTTGAGGGGACACAATGGTAGTGTGGGGGCAGGAGTCCGAACTTGAGACTTGCTGGTAAGAGCAGGGTTGAGTGCCCATCCATTGTAACATTGGGAAGTTAGCCCCAATCTGAATCTGCAGAAGGGAGCCACATAGTGGAGCTTGAGATGAGCAAGTGTCAAACAGGCATTTCCACCAGTGATCCTGAGATACCCTTT